GCTCTGCTCCGGCGCCACCAGCAAAGTCACGGCCAGGTAGGAGGAGGTGGGGGGTCGACGAGGTACCGACGTGGAGGGAGCAGAAGAGGATCAGAGGGGAGCAGAGGAAGACAAGTGAAGCTTTTTACGAGGACTTCCTGCTACATTGACGGCGTGGCGGTACTCCTCAGAGGACACACTGCTTGTTTTCAGTGGGAGAACAACAGGACATGTGTTGCCAGCACTGTTGTGATGTTCAGACTGGATGCAGGCACATCTGTTTGTCCAGCTGTTCTTCTCCTTGTTTTCTTCATAAAACGTCGTTTTTGGAGGAAAAGAAATGAAGTGAAATGTTGGTCCGGCTGCACTTTTCCACATCTCCTTTAATTCACAGTGGAACCCTTTAAAGTGGAGTCATTTTTAAATAAATCATGTCCACATTCATTTTCAGACATTTCTATAATTACCAGCAACACATCAGACGGTTACTGAGACAACAGGCAGCAGCACACGGAGCTAAAGTGGGTCAGAGTTTGTGGTTCTGCTACATAGAACTAAACGGAGACTGTTTATTTTACTTTACATGCTGCAGCTTTGTTCTCAGTCTAGTTTACTCCAATCTGGTTTTCACATTAGCTGACCCGGCTGTTACCAGAGGGGTGAACAGCAGCGCGCTCACTGGAGTCACAGAAATGAGAGTATGTGAGAAATGTGGTCTTTGTTAAAGAGCATGAAATGCTACGCTGCAGCTTTGATCATTGATTCAAAATGTATCTGTTTATTAGAGAACAGGCAGAGCTCTTTAAAGACGCTTTCACCTGAATCACACACACACACACACACACACACACACACGTCTGTACTACAGGTAGGACTGTTTTATTCTCTACTTCCAGCGGTATCTTCAGTGTTGGCCTCCTGACCTCCTTTCATGATTCATTTGCATTAGATCAATAAAACATCAACACTCTCAGCCCCAGTAGCTCTGGAAGGCTTGTGAATCCTCAAAAGCACAAAATATAAAAGTGCGCATATACTTGTTTTATTCATGCCCTCGTGTCTGTGCATGGATTTAATTTGGAGTGCTTGAGATGTCACTTCTGCGTGAAGCCGTTCTTTTTCGTCACCTGACTGTTCTTGTGATTTTGCACCGCGTCCTCTGACCCGCCGTTGTTTCCATCCCACTCAATACCTGTTCTTCTGCTCCGACCTGCAGCGCTGAACCGCTGATGAACGCGCTCTTTACAGAGAGAGAGGGAGAGGAAGAAGATCACAATCAGCAGGAAATTAATGAATGTCAAGAACACTTGAGGTTGAAACCACAGATCCAGTTCAAATATACTTGATTTGTACCGCTGAGGTCAACCACGAGGAGCCTCAGATTGAAGGTGACAGCAGTCGGTCACAGAGTGAACATGTGTGTGTTCTTCCTGAAGCCGCCGGTACAATTTAAACCCGCAGATGAGACGCAGGAATGAGCACGACGAGAGACGGGCTAATTGCTGTGGATTCCCAGTCCTCCGAGGTATCGTCTCCCAGACCCTGCTGTTACAGAGGTGAACTTCTCTCTCCTCGCGTCTCCTGGGCCAACGGGGGGTCCCGAGGCGGCCCTCGCTCCTCAGAAGCCGGTGTTAATGGGGGCAGAGGAGAGCAGAGGGAGAGAAAGAAAGACAAGAGCCCAATCAAGATTTCTTTAACTCTCTTTTTCCACCCTTTTCCATTTTCTCTCTCTCTCTCTCTCTCTCTCTCTCTCTCTCTCTCTCGCTCTCTCTCCTAATTTTACACTTCCTGTTGGAGGTTCTCTCTGTCGGTGTGTTGGCTGGTCCTCACTGATCCGACACACACTCGTCCAAGAACAGCAGCCCACACAGATCCTGCTCATCTGTTGTCACCTGTTTGTCATTATTCTGCATCAGCTTATTTACAGCAATCGTGTTTATTTAAAGTGAAAGTATCACCGTCAGTAAGAAGTCTGTTCATAACTGCTCTTTTATTAAAACAACTCTGAAAAAGAATCCTGATGTTTAGTTCTGCAATTTATTCAGGATGGTCATCATGAGCCAGATCCACCCTCTGGATTATTTCATTAGTTAATGTGCAGAGTTCATTCATGCTGCAAACTCTTTGTAAGACGAAGTGGCGGACTCAAGGCAAGGCCGGCAAAATGACACAAAAAGGGCACGAAGCTGCCTGCGGTGGGGCACCAGCGCACAGAAGGGTTTCTAGCATGAAGAGCAGCCTACATGGAACTGCATCTCACTTCCTCTGGAATGGTACCCCAGAGGGCACTTCATCATGTGTATCTACCGTAAGGGCATCCAAGAACCAAACTTCTGAAACTCTGAGAGCCGGTCAAAATAACACTGCTGCCTTATAACCTTCACATGTGGCATCGACCTGTAGTTTACGTCAGCCATCTCTGTGTTCACTGTCGCACTGACTGGTGGTTGTACTGTCCGCGTACATCACACATCAGACACTTCATTTCTGCCACTTTGGATTTAATCCAACAAGCAAACTATTAGAATGTGCACAGACCCCGTACCTTCAACGGGACTGACACGCCCTCGAGGGCCTCTCTACGTCTTCGTCCTCTCAGAGGACAGACTGGACGCTACAGTGACCCGCTGTCGCCTCTCCAGGAACAAGTGGTACCACAAGACAGGACGGGCCCGAGCTAGCTGGTTAGCATGCTAGCTTCAGTCGACATCTCCGCAACACATTACAGGAGCCAATGAAGACAGCATATATATACAGTATATAAGAGTCAGGATTAGTTGTAATGCACTTATATTAGACTTTAGAAAAGAGTAACCTGGACAGAGGATCTGAGTTACGCCACGTGTTTCAGAGACATTCAGAGAAATACTCTTCAGCACAATACTGAACACAACGCTGATCCTGAACATCTTAGCTGCTCAGTAGGAATGTCCTTTGGTTGAGGTTTGCCTTTACCCACTTCTTCTTCTCTCTCTCTCTCTCTCTCTCTCTCTCTCTCCCTCTCTCCCTCTCTCTCTCCCTCTCTCCCTCTCTCTCTCTCTCTCTCTCTCTCTGGAAGTTAAAGGGCCAGTGGAGCCTGATTAGGATGCAGAGGAGGAAGGCTCTGCTGCAAATTGAAAACATATTGATTCTCCTCATGCTTAGAGGGAGAGGGGGCGAGAGACAGAGGGAGAGAAGGAAGAAGATGGGGGAGAAAGAGAGAGAGAGAGAGAGGGAGCGAGAGAGAGAGAGAGAAAAGGAGGATACAATCTGGTGATGAAACAGAGAGGGCAAGACAGTTGCCCAATGCCAACAGCAACTTGTGTGGATGTCTGGTCACACACACACACACACACACACACACACACACACACACACACACATATACTAAGATAACATCCCATGAGTCGAGGGCTCTCTGGTCGCTATGGCAACGGGGTCAGGGCAGCAGCGGCGTGCACATGTGAGCGTCATGCTGTCACGTCCAGCTGTGGAGGGGAGAGGCCGCGGGATGCCGATGAGAGAGGACATACAGGACGTACAGATGTGCTGACTGCACAGTTTCCATGGGAACAAGCCCCCCCTCCCCTCCCCTCCTTCCATCGCTCCTCGTTGCTCTTGCACAAGCTTCCACGAATACGTCTTGCTGCGTCTTTATGTATGTGTGAGCTCTCGGATCAGCTACAGCTCAATCTATCTTGTCCTGAGTGCACGAGTCACATCCTCTAAGTGTGTGTGTGTGTGTGTGTCTTTGTGTGTGTGTTTGCATATTAGTATGTGTGACATGCTTGTCTCATTCTTTAATCAAGGATGAGGGCGAAGAGAGGAGAGTGTGAGGGAGGTGGTGGATGTTATCAAGCAGAGTGGCTTTCTGTGTTGTGCACACACACACACACACACACGTATTCTGTCTCTGACTGCTGTTGAGTCCATTTAAAGTCTTGCAGAGAGCGCGGTGTAGATGGATGCTTGCCGTATTTGTGCGTGTAGTTCAAAGGTTGCGTCGGCCGGGAGTGGAACCCCCCACCTCCTCGCTGAAGATGTTCTCGGAGGTCTGGAGGGGCCTCTATAGGTGAACAACCGTACTGCAAACAAGTGTATTTGTGAGCAGGTCGACCTGCACTTTGTCACACTGTTGTTTGATTATTGATGGGAAAGTCAAAGTTACCCAAAGAATGAAGATGAAGTCAACTGGTGCTGATGCCGAGACAATTATCTCAACAAGATAACAAATAAATGTCTAATCAGCTCGTTGATTGGTTTGTTCCTGTTTTACATCTTTATCAAGACACCAGCTTTATACACCAAAGGATGAATGTGTAAACATTAAGAAGACATGCGTTTGCATGTTTGATCTATCACTGAAACATCAGTACATGTAATAGTCTATATAGACGACATGATTAATGACTTTGTGGTTTATTGTTCACCATTAAACCGACCAAAACGTTCAGATTGACATCAAATTGATTATTTAAAAAAATGTATGAACCCATTTCTTTAATTTTATTAATGTGCTAACATCCACGGAAACCTTTGGATAAAGAAAAGAATACAAAGAGGTGTCACAGTTTACTGCTGCAGACGAATGATGGTAGCAAGAAAAAATAAAATTAAAGTAAATACAAAGAAGTTATGGGGAAGCGGCTTCTTTTTTATATCTTAGGAGGAAAAAATAGCTAGAGAAAATACATTCATTAAGATATTATAATAATAATTTGTATTGTTATGATTGTTATTGTTATTACTTTCATTATTATCATTATTATCATTAGTATTATTATTCCACACTCCATACCAGTTGGTGGATGCACCACGTTGCTTTCCAGTTTATAACATCAGTGAGAAGAAGAAGAAGAAGAAGAAGAAGAAGAAGAAGAAGAAGAAGATGGCTGTTTAGTTTAGTTTTTTTATTTCATTTTATTTTTTATACTATAAGTACTAGACAGCCTGGTTCACACTCCAGACCAGCTGGTGGCGGTAATGCGCCAATTCATTGTTTGCCAACCGCCAATAAAAGTCAAAGAAGCAGAAGAAGAAGAAGAAGAAGAAGAAGAAGACGGCTGATTTTACGACAGTTTCCCAAACACACAGCCGTCTCGCTTTACGGTAGAGGGGTGTCGCTCGCTAAGCAGTTCAGCTGTCAGAAGGTAAACTACAGAAACATCCTCTTAAAACAGCTTCTCACGTAAACTTTATGACTTTGCTATTAGTCACTTCCGGTCTCATAAACACACCGGAGCTTCTTCTACCGACTGACAGCAGACGTTACGAGCTAGCACCCAGTAGCACACATGCTACAAGCTAACCCCGACTTTAAGTTTAGACTCGACTTTAGGTTTGGACTCGGGACATTTAGTCGTTCTTGTTCGTCACATTTGCATTATATTATTATATATATATTATATTATTATTATATATATTATACTTGAGGGTAAATAGCTGCCTGTGTTCTACAGTTTGTTTATTTTATGGAATAAGTTAAAGTAAATGAGATAAGACATTGTACTACTGTAACTACTTTAGCAGAGTACTCATGAAATACTCATGAGTACTCTGTAGGAAATACTCCTTTTGGGTTCCATATTAGCAGTTTGAAATTTGAAATATGGCAGCTTGACAAGTTGTAAAATATGTCCTTTTATAAGATAAAGAAGGTCTGTTGTGTTAAAATGTGTGATGTGATTAAGAAGATCATTCACAGATGACATGACGTGTTAACATTCATCACATGTGAGCCAGTGGTTGAAATACTAAGATTGTGTTTCTCTTCCATCGTTTGCTTTGTTCTGTATTGTGTAGTTTGAGAGACGTTAGTGTTGAACTGTGATCTACATCGTGCTCTGTTGCTCTTTACAGTGAAGTTCTTTCTGAGGACAAACCGTCAATCACCCTCCTGATTATTTATCAGTAACAGCAGCAATGACTGGGGATTTATGTAACAAAGTACTTTTACTTAAGTACTGTACTCCTCCCTCTTCCTCTTCCTCCTCCCCCCTCAGTACAATTTTAATGTACTTGTACTTCACTTGAGTACTTCCATGTTATACTTCTTTATACTACATTTCAGAGGTACATCTTGTACTTTTTGCTCCACTACTACAGAAACATGTTTTTCAAAATAAGACATGCTCATAAAATATGATGCGATATAATATAGCAGCTACTAATGGTGTCATATGAAGTATTTAAATTGATGAAGTACAACGTTAAAAGTGTGTTAGTGAAGAACAGAATCTTCTCTGGAAGGAGCCTTTCTGCATAATGAACTCTTTTACTTTGGTAACACTTTGAGTTCAGGACTTTTACTTGTTGTTGTTTAGACGATGTCAGTCAGGCTGTTACTGAAGTAAAGTATCCGAGTACTTCCTCCACCGCTGTGGCTAACCGTCTTGTCTTTGAGCGGCTCAGGTGATGCTCATCGGACCGCTCGGTGCAGAGACGCTGCGAGGTGGACCCTGGAAGGCTGTGACTGTGGTGAGTGCTGATCTGCTGTTGATCTCCGTGCTCTGGACTCACGCGTCCCTCTGTTTGGTGGGTCTCATCCTCCGGTTGCTTCTCCAGACGGTGCTCCTGAGTGTGTTTATGTTCCCGCTGCTGAGGACGGTTGGACTGAGAGCGTTCTCCATGGCTTCTGAGACGTACACGTCGGGGACTCACTCGGCCGCCTTCGTCACCTGTCCCAACGACACGGTGGCTAAAGACTTGGCCAGGTGACACAACCAGCAGCCATCTCGCTTCTGTGCTTGACAAACGAGAATGAAAACGTCCCATCCTGTGTGGTCGGATGATGAACACTTGTCTTCTGTCCCTCAGGGCCATCGTGGAAAAGAAGCTCGCCGCTTGTGTGAACATCGTCCCAGCGATCACGTCTGTGTGAGTGTTGAGACGGCTGCTCGTCGGTGTGTGTTTTCAACATAAATAACGATGACTCACTTGGAGTTATTAGATGACATATTCCTCATTCCTCTCGTCCCTTCAGATATGAGTGGCAGGGGAAGATCGAGGAGGACAGCGAGGTGCTGCTGGTGAGTGTTGACTGTGATGTTTCAGCCTCTAAATCCTCTTTATTTAACACCGTGGTGAGTTACTGTCACTGCTACTTCAAACACTATGAATGCTACAGCTACAGCAGCACTTAGACAGAGGTACGGCTGGTATTCTATCAATACCACCGTTAATACTTCATTATTGACATTAATAGTAAGCATAACTTCATTGCAACTTTTCGCGGCGATGGCAGCGCAGGTTATCTTGTATCTGGCAAAAGTACAAAAAGATGATTCTTTATTATAAATGTCCCTCACAGGTCCACTTAACTCAATCAATCCTCAGGACCAGACGGACTACTTTGTGTCTTGTCACTCCGTCTCATTAACTTCCTCGGTCACACTGTGTGTTGAACCGTGACCACCGTTAGCTCGTGATCCTTCAATGTATGCATGTGATGAAATTCTAAGCTGTCGTCTTCTCTCCTGTCCAGATGATTAAAACAAGAAGTTCCAAGGTTCCCGCTCTGGCCGAATACGTCCGGTAGGTTCACTTATAAACCGCCTCGCTCTCACAGGAACTCTGTGTGTTGCTCCGTTAGCCGCCGTGACTCGTGCACTCACAGAGTATCGCTGTCTGTGCGTCCTGTCCTCTCCAGCTCCAACCATCCTTATGAGGTGGCCGAGGTCATCAGCCTGCCCATCGAGCAGGGCAACCCGCCCTACCTCAAGTGGATAGGAGACGCAGTCCCAGAGTAAAGGACGGCCTCAAAGACGCATCGAGACGCTTCCCGACATCTGTGATGTGTCCGTCATGTGAATCAGAGACATTTTGAGAAGATTAAAACGATGATACGGCTGAAAGATGTTCTTTCTTTGTTTTGAGTCTTGTGTTTAACGTTCTTCCTCTCCAGCTGGTTTACCTCTAGAGGGCAGCCTCTGCCTTTCTAAAGGTAACCAGCTGCAGAATGACCTCTGCTTCAGCTTTCACTCACCACGTACATGTTGAAAGTGACGACACATCTGTTGGGTTTCTCATTCCTTTTGTGAACGAAGCATCTTTGCATTAAAAAGGAGGATTCATTTTTTAAATTGGTGTGAAGTGTTTCTTGGTGAACAACGTGCAGTAAAGTCGAGGTCTGCATGCACGCGTTACATACGTCTGCGTGCACGCGTTACATACCGTCTGCGTGCACGCGTTACATACCGTCTGCGTGCACGCGTTACATGCACACGTTACCGTCTGCGTGCACACGTTGTATACCGTCTGCGTGCACGCGTTACATACGTCTGCGTGCACGTGTTGGATACGTCTACGTGCACGCGTTGGATACGTCTACGTGCACGCGTTGGATACGTCTACGTGCACGTGTTAGCTGTTTACAGCACATTTCTCTGGAGCTAGAACGATAGACATGCTGCCTCTGAGCTCCTTCAGGATTAAAGTCTATCGACATAATAAACTGACAGCCGGTGGAATATGATCCGTAAACATTTATTGAGCTCACCACATTACACTTGGCTTTTGTACTTTGACAACACTGCTGATATAATACAACATATTAATGTGACAACAAAGAAAACAAAAAGCATGAGTTGGGCAAATTGGGCTTGTGGTTTAACTTAAATAAATAAAATATAGAATTCACAATGAACTACGAAACACACATCTTCTATTTCAACCATCGAATCGACAAAGTAACTTTAGCATGAAGCACAGAATCCTTCACAAAGAACACTTAACATGGATGTTCATCGTTGACAAAAGGTAAACCTTTAGTTCTTTCATATTTAAAGAGGATTTCATGAATAATACAAACAGGATCATCTGTTCCAGTCACACAGCAAAGAGACTTTAAACCTTCTTCTTCTTGAAACATAATTCTCTCTGTCGTAAGTGAAGCAAGTTTGTGACAAAAAAGCACTAAACAGTGAAATGGGCTTTTTTTTAAACAGTTTACATTCGACGGCTGTTTTGGTAAAAAGTGAAGATATTCCACATTCTTTGTTTCACACTGAATCATCAGTTGTTTCCTCCACAGTGTCCTTTTCAACACGACATCAATAAATACATATATATAAAATAAATCTGCTCTTTGATGGAGCAGATCTCGTAGCTGAAGCCCTCACTACCCAGAATGCACAGCGTTGCATCAGTCGACGACCTTCTTGGTGCCTTTAAGATCAAGATGAACATATAAATACTTAAGAACTATATTCTGTACTTCACAATCCTTACAGCCAGTGTTTCAACCCAACATGGTTAACTTCAGCTTACATTATTTTAACTTTCACACACCGTGACAAAAAAACACCGATACTGTCAGAATATTATGTGACGCAAAAGATCTGACCCCAACTTTAATATTTGCATATTGTAAAATAGTCTCTCCACATGATCCAACGCTGAGCCTGTAATCTGTAGCTGTGCGTAATGTTCACATTTGCTTAAAGTGGTTTCTGCCAAGTCCTCTTACAGATAACTGATCTCCAGCACCGGTTGGTTGTCCGGCCGTTCTTCAGGTTGTGACCTGCTGTTTCTACTTTTACCGGCTTCCTCAGCAGCATCCCGGCCGGATCCTTCCTCGTGCTCCGGCTCGGGTTTCCCTCTCTGCACACGAGTCCTTGATCCCTCTGCCGCTCCGCTGTGGTTTCCGTTCTGTGACGTTTTGCGTATTTCACTCATCCGTACGTCCCCTCCCGTCCCATTAATCTCCTCTTCTTCCTGTCCCCCGCGCTCCCTCCGTTGCACGTCGTCTTCGCTTTTTTGCGCTTGGAGCACGATGCCGCCCCACTCCTCCGTCGGCCGCTGCGCCCTGTCGTTGTTCTTCACCCGACGCGAGGCGCCGAACAGGGCCTTCCTGAAGCCCCTCTTGAAGTTGTCCGACAGGAAGCCGTACAGTATGGGGTTGGCGCAGCTGTTCGCGTACGACAGCACGACAACGAAAAAGTAGAGCCCCCTGAAGTCGCCGGGCAGCACCACCAGGAGGTTGACGATGTTCAGAGCGTAGAACGGCAGCCAGCAGAGGACGAACACCGCCACCACCACGACCACCATCCTGGTGATCTTACGCTCCGACTTCCTGCGCCGAGACGACGTGGCCTGCGCCCGTTTTCCAACGCTGCGCACCTTTGAGAGAAAAGACAAAGAGCGTTTAATGCGTAAACACACATTCACTAGTAAAGACTCAACTCACCCAAATCAAAGAATCGTTTTCTCAATCAGTATTTTGAGGTTACGAACCTACGATTTCTGCGGTGAACAACGTCGAACCACTTTTTACCAAATAAATAGTTTGTGCTGTGTGTCACGTCTCCAGCAAGTACGACATTCTTCTTACGAATACACCTCTCAGTAGTTAAATCATATTAATTAAATGCATTTACCTTGATGACGATCAGCAGGTAGCACAGGCAGATGACCAGCAGGGGGCAGAAGAAGCCCACGGTGCACGTGTACACGATGAAAGACGTCTTCCACACCTCTGCCGGCTCGGGCCACACGATGCTGCAGTTCCCGTCATCCTTCAGCACGTCGGCGAACACCACCACCGGCAGCACCACCACGAAGGACCCCGCCCAAACCGTGGCACTGATGGCCTTGGCCACGCGGGGGCGCCGCCACCAGAAGGAGCGGATGGGGTGCACCACGGCCAGGTAGCGGTCCACCGACATCACGGTCAGGCAGAAGATGCTGGTGAACTGGTTGATGGCGTCCACTGTCATGACCACGCGGCACATTAAGGAGCCGAAGGGCCAAGAGAGCAGAGCGTTCTGCGCCGCCAGGAAGGGCAGGCCCAGCATGAAGAGCTCGTCTGCGATGGCTAAGTTGAGGATGTAGATGTTGGTGACCGACTCGTTCTTGGTGTAGTTGACGATGACGTGGATGACCAGCGTGTTGCCCACGAGGCCGACAACGCACACTATCCCGTAGATGAGCGGGATGAAGATCCCGGCCAAGCCGGGGAGGGATCCGGGGTCCGGTTTGGTGCCGTTGAAGAGGAACGGGCCGTCGCTCGGAGAGAAGCCGAGTAGAAGCGGTTGGGAAGGAGTGGAGAGGAGCGAGGAGTGAAGGGGAATGGAGTTGTTGCTCCAGGTAGCTGTGGGGGCTTCCCGAGGCAGCTGGGTGGCCTGGATGAGCTCCATGGAGGCTTTAAGGAATAAGAGGCAACAGAAGCTGATGAGATCCCATCAGTGGCAGGTCGACGGCCCTGCAAGAGGAGGCAAAGTTAGATGATTTAGCACATTTCATACACAAGACTGTTTAAAGTGCTTTACATAACACAACTGTGCAGTTTAACATGGCACACCAGGTCTGTGTTCGTCGTCCGAAATTGTCCGAAACAAATTCAAACTCACGTTGAATCAACGTTTACACACCGACTGCAAAAACTTCCATCTGTCATTAAAGGAACAGGTTTGATTTTCTTCACTTATTTTCTGCATTCATTACAAATGTTGAATCTACTAAATGAACATCATGCTGTATTGAAGAAGACTTGAAACTA